TTGGTCTTTGAAGTTGGTGAACTTTATATGAGGTCTCTGAGTGGACGTCCTTTCAGTTGACGTTGGAACTATTTCTTTCTGTTTGTTAGTTTTCCTTCTAACAGTCAGGCCCCTCTGCTGCAGGTCTGCTGGAGTTTGCTGGAGGTCCACTTCCTGCTTGCCTGGGAATCACCAGTGAGGGCTGCAGAGAAACAAAGATTGCTCCTTTTCCTTCCTCTGGTGGCTTTGACCCGGAAGGGTACCCACCAGATGCCAGCCAGAGCTCTCCTGTATGAGATGTCTGTCAGTCCTGAGAGGTGTCTCCTAGACATGATATATCGGGGTCAGGGAGCTAATTGTGGACACAGTTTGTTCCTTATCAGAGCTCAAATGCTGTGCTGGGAAATCTACTGCTCTCTTCAGAGCTGCCAGGCAGGGACATTTTAGTCTGCTGAAGCTGTACCCACAACTGCCCCTTTTCCCAGGTGCTCTGTTCCAGGAAGTTGGGGCCCTTATTTAGTCCCTGATGGGATGTGCTTTTTTCAGAGATGCCTGTGCATTGAGAAGTGATTCTAGTGACACAGTCTGCCTGCAGTTTCCTTGTTGAGCTGCTATGGACTCCACCCTGTTCAGATTTCCTGACGACTTTATTTACAGAGGCGAGGTTAAAACCGCCTACCCAAGCCTCAGCAATGGCAGACACCCCTTCCTCCACCAAGCTTGAACTTCCCAGGTTGAGTTCAGACTGCTGTGGCGACTGTGAGAATTTCAAGCCAGTGGATCTTAGCTTGCTGGTCTTTGTGGCAGTAGGACCTGCCGAGCCTGAGCACTTGGTTCTCTGGCTTTAGCCCCCTTTTTCAGGGAAGTGAATGGTTCTGTCTTGCTGGTGTTCCAGGTGCCACTTGGATATGAAAAAAAAAGTGCTGTGGCTAGCTGGGTGTCTTCTCAAACGGCTGCCCAGTTTTGTGCTGGAAACCCAGGTTTCTGGTGTTGCAGGCACCAGAGAGAATCTCCTGGTCTGCAGGTTATGAAGACCATGGGAAAAGCACAATATCTGGCCTGGAGCACTGGGAACAGTCCCTAATGGCTTTCCTTGGCTAGGAGATGGAGTTTACCACCCTCTCGTGCTTCCCAAGTGAAGAGACACCCCACCCTGCTTTGGCTCACCCTCCTTGGGCTGCACCCACTGTCCCACAAGTCCCAGTGAGATGAACCAGGTACCTCAGTTGGAAATGTGAAGATACCCTCCTTCTGTGTTGCTCTTTCTGGGAGCTGCACACTGGAGCTGTTCCTATTTGGTCATCTTGCCAGCAGTCTACCTATGTTATTCTTTCTGTCCATGCTCTTCTCACATTTGTCTTCTTCCTTCACTTGTCTGATTAATACACTGCTTTTTATTTCAAAGATTTGACTCAAAATTTTTATATTATTTATTTGTTTGTTTTTTATATAGACAAGGTCTCACTATGTTGCCCAGGCCAGTCTTGAACTCCTGAGCTCAAGTGATTCATTACCTTGGCCTTCCAAAGTGCTGGGATTATAGGCATGAGCCACTGTGCCTGGCCCTGTTTCAATCAAATTTTAGGGAGTTTTTTAAACTCATGTTTTTTCATTTTTAAACATATCTTGTTCTTTGCCAAAGTTCTCAAGCTAGCTTTTATCTCCTTGATCATAGTAAACAGGCTGTTTTAAGGTGTGTATTTGGTAGCTTCACTACATGAATCCCCTGTGGGCGTGTTTCTGTTCTCTGTTGTTTCTGATACTTTTCTTTCATGGAATTGTGTCCCTTTGTATGTCTGATTATTTTTTATTGTATGTTGGAATTTGTATTTGAAAAATTGTAGAAATAATTTGAAGCCTAGAATAGTGCTATATTCCCCTTGAGAGATTTTAATTCTATAAGAAAATTAAATTCCCAATGCCCTAAGTAAGTACCCTAAGTAAGATGCCCTAAGTGGTTGCCAGATAAAATGCAGTACAGTCAAGTTTGAATTTCAGGCTGGGCACAGTGCTTACGCCTATAATCCCAGCACTTTGGGAGGCGGAGGTGGGTGGGTGGATCGCTTGAGGTCAGGAGTTTGAGACCAGCCTGGTCAACATGGTGAAACTCTATCTCTACTAAAAGTACAAAAATTAGCTGGGCATGGTGGTGCATGCCTGTAATCCCAGCTACTTGGGAGGCTGAGGCAGGAGAATCACTTGAACCCAGGAGGCAGAGGTTGCAGTGGGCCAAGATCATGCCATTGTACTCCAGCCTGGGAGACAGAGTGAGATGCTGTCTCCAAAAAAAAAAAAAAAAGTTTGAATTTCAGATAAACAGTGACTTTACTATAATTACGTCCCAAATATTGCATGGGACATACTTTTATTGAAAATTGCATTGTTCGTCGTTCATTCACATTTAACTGAGTGTTCTATATTTTTATTTGCTAAATCTGACAACCCATCTCCTAAGGCATCTCTTGTATATGATGAATTAAGTTGTATCCTGTACATCTAGAATGTTGAATTAAATTGTCTCATGTACATCTAGCTGTGAGAACATAGTCAGATCATTTTCTTTGTTCCATAATTCAGATGAGGAGACCTGATTGAGAAAAGTGGCTCTAAGGAGTGCTTCTGCAAGGTGCTTGAGAGCACTAGTAATTCAGTTATCACCTTAATACAATTTCAAGGATTGAAATGGTTTGAAGCTGGGCTATAGTCCCTCTGAGAGCTGTTCTATTTTTGTCAAAAGATCTGTTCAGCCTCTCTTCTGCCTCTTTCTGAACTGGCAGATGCCCTCAGGGAAAAGAATGGCCTAAATGCTCACTCATATATTTGAATTTCTATATAGATCTTGGCCTCATAATTTTTTACTATCCTGTTACCTCTCTGTTGTATTCAACCAGATTTTAAAAGACTGTCTAGCTTTTTAGTTGCCTTCAGCAGGTGGGTTGGCCTAAATTACTTAATCTGCCATTGCTAGAAGCATTATATAATTTTAAAACAACAGACGCAAAGAGCCATAGTTAAACTGTAGGATCTGTCTGAGTGACACAAAATACTCTTTTGAAAAGAAAGGAAGCATGTATTTAATACATAATATCAGCCTGTGTGCTTAAAATATATATTCTGAGGCAAATAGAAAATAAAAGTAATCTACCTAAGGAATTACTATCTATCTGGAAACTCAAACTAATAAGTTTGAGTTTTATTTATCATTTTTATTTTTAATTTTTAATAGATAAAGGTCTTGCTATGTTGTCTTGCTATGTGGCAACCACTTACTTAGGGCATCAGGAATGTAGTAGAAACAATGTCTCACTACATCAGCTTGGTCTCATACTCCTGGGCTCAAGCCGATTCTCTCACCTCATCCTCCCAAAGTGCTAGGATTATAGGTGTGAGCCACTGTGCCTGGCCAAGTTTAAGTGTTAACGTATTAGGAAAAACCTAGATTTTAGTATTGTGGGTAATATGATTTAATTGCTTGGCTGGAATAGGAAATGAGGTGATATTTGAAATGGTTAGTATTAAAGCTAAGAGTCCTATAGCTGTTTTCTTACATGTTTTCTGACTCACCTCAGGCTTAAAACATATTAAAAGTATACTAAAGTAACTAATGTAAACTGATGAACTGTTGAATTAGTTGCCTTCTGTATAATATTGTATATGTCTGGCATACATGGTTCTGTCAACTGTTTAAGAAATAACCACCTATTTTCCATAGTTATACATTAATGCATGTCAGAATCCATCTCTAAGTTGTTTATTATTATTATTATTTGAGACAGAGTCTCACTCTGTCACCCAGGCTGAAGTGCAGTGGTACAATCACGGCTTACTGTAGCCTCAACCTTCCAGGCTCAGGTGATTCTCCCACCTCGACCTATGAGTAGCTGGGACTATGGCATGTGCCCCCACATCTATCTCAGTGTTGTATTTTTTGTAGAGAAGTGGTTTTGCCTTGTTGCCAAGACTAGTCTTGAACTTCTAGACCCAAGTGATCCACCAGCCTTGGCCTCCAAGTTCTCCTTGGCCACCATGCCCAGCCTCCAAGTTGTATATTTGTTTTTTTTAAGTGGAGTCTCGCTCTGTCCCCCAGGCTGGAGTGCAGTGGCAGGATCTCGGCTCACTGCAACCTCCATCTCCTGAGTTCAAGTGATTCTCCTGCCTCAGCCTCCTGTGTAGCTGGGACTACAGTCATGCACCACCACATCCGTCTAATTTTGGGGTTTTACCATGTTGGTCAGGCAGGATCTCGGCTCACCACAACCTCCGCCTCCTGGGTTCAAGCAATTCTCCTGCCTCAGCCTCCAGAATAGCTGGAACTACAGGCGTGCACCACCATGCCCAGCTAATTTTTGTATTTTTAGTAGAGACGGGGTTTCACCATGTTGACCAGGATGGTCTCGATCTCTTGACCTCATGATCCACCCGCCTCAGCCTCCCAAAGTGCTGGGATTACAGGCTTGAGCCACCGCGCCCGGCCCCAAGTTGTTTGTTTGTTTTTTAAAATGAAGTTTGCAGCTGGGTGTGGTGGCATGCACTTATAGTCCCAGCTACTTTGGGAGGATTTCATGAGCTCAGGAGTCTGAAGTCAACCTGGGCAACAAAGTGAGACCACAACTCACTCTCTTTTTTTTTTTTTTTTTTTCGATTAGCATTTTGGTCACAGAGATGTGCAGACCCCAACTCTCTAAAATAGAAAAAGAAGTTTGCATTTGTTCTGGTTCATACAGTTTTTTAATTATGTCCTTAATTTTTGTTCCTAAGTAACATAACTGTAGTACATAACTCACTCCCAAACTTAAAATAATGTGTCTTGGTAGAACTAAATATTTTTGCTCTTTTAAGTTTTTTCTCCATAGAAAGAAAACTTAAAAGTTTTTCTCCATAGAGATCATCATCTCTTTTGATGATCATGTCCTTAAATGGTAATTATAAAATAAGCTATTAAAACTTCTTTTAATTTTTTCGTTAGATTTAATAAAATTATAAGCATGTCTTAAGTTTGTATTTCTGAATTTTTTTTAAAGAGTTATGAAATTGCAACTGCCCTAGAAAATCGAAGCCACAAGGTTAGATATTCAGATTCAGTGGAAAATGGATCAATTATATTTTCTCTTTCTGGTATAGTATATTTGCTTACTGCCTTAAGTTTCTTATGAAATATGTTGGCATAAATTCTAATGATTTCATAGTTCAGTAACTATGTAATAAGGTTAAGGTGTTATCTTTTGGGAGGGGTAAATGTTTAAAACTTTGTTACTACTACAAATGCAGAGCATATGGCCAATTCCAATATATTCCTTTGATTACAATTGTTAAAATAAAGCTGAACTAGTGGTATCTGATAGAGGATGGGGGAAAAACTGCTTGCTTTGGAACTGAGATGAAAATAGAAAAAGCCACTTTCACAACAATCTATACTTACATTAAAGTATTACTTATATTAACAGAGACCACATTTGTCAAAGCTCATATATGAAAAACAACACAGGGAAATGTTTTTCATTAATTTGTATAAGTTTGCTGGATATAATAAAAATATTGACTCAAAGAATCATACAGGGACAAATACATGTTCCTGAAATGATAACTGATACAACTGTGAGTCGTGGACAAAAGTCCAGTAAGGAATTAGATTAGGGTAAGAGAAGGCTTGGAGATGGTTAGGGGGAAGCTCCATCTGTGCTTGAGAAATGATAGAAATGATTTTTTAAAAAGGTGGAAGTAAAGGATTTTATTTGGAGGGTTGCAAATAGACTTCTCTTCTAGCAGTTTTGGAAGACAAGCACTTTCAAAATGGTTCTAGAATAGATCTAAACTCATTATTCTGTCTAAATACGGAACCCTCCAGAGAGAAAGTATTTAGTGAATATTTGCTTTGGATACTTTATATACATGATCTAATTTAATCCTTCTGACAAATCTAACAAAAAATATACTCCCATGTTACAGTTGAGGAAACATATGTTCAGAGAGGTTATATAAGTTGCCCAAGTTCACTCAATTAGTATATAATCAGTCACTTTCCTCAGACTGTCTCCCACATCATTTGAAGAGCTGTAATCAAGTTTCCCTTTCGAACCATTCTTAATGGGCCTGATGCTGTTTCAGAGATTCCAGATATCTGCTCACTGAGTGTATTAATTTACTTAACTTTTTATGTTCTTGTAGAAAGGTTTCTCCAACAAGAAATCATTGAAGCCTTGCTTTTTGGTTTTTTTAAAATTTTTTTAGATGGAGTCTTGCTCTGTCACCCAGGCTAGAGTGCAGTGATGAGATCTTGGCTCACTGCAACCTCTGTCTCCTGGGTTCAAGCAGTTCTCCTGCCTCAGCCTCCTGAGTAGCTGAAATTATAGGTACGCAACCACGCCTGGCTAATTTTTGTATTTTTAGTAGAGATGGGGTTTTACCATGTTGGTCAGGCTGGTCTTGAACTCTTGACCTCTTGATCTGCCAGCCTTAGCCTCTCAAAGTGCTGTAATTACAGGCATGAGCCATCACACCCAGCCGAAGGCTTGCTTAAGACTACCTTTCTTTAACTGATTTCCAGCTTTTAAAAATCATTATAGGAGCTTCTTGGTTGTCGAACACATGGAGGTGCACGAGGGTGGCAGGTCCAGAGAAGGCATTGAAGCTCTATGTGTCTTCCAACATACCTAGCCCTATGCATCTCTTCATCTGTATCCTTTGTAATATCCTTTATAATAACTAGTACATATTTTAAAAGTAAAACATAAAACATTAACATTTTAAATGGAATTCCTCTTTTAATTAAAAACTAGCCAGTATCTTCATGTGAACAATGCCTTCATCTAGGGAAGAAAGTAGTTACTGATTCAAAAAAGTTTTTCTCTTATTTAGCACAAGTCATTCTTTTATACAGAGCACTTCAAAGAACTACCTAAATCATTTTGTTGTGTAGGAATTCCATTATAGTAATTTATACTCCTTATGAGTTTAGGGCTTGGACACGTCTGGTATACTTATAGCTATTTTGGTTGATTTTGAGTTTATAACTAAATTTGATCTATATGACAAAGTGACATTTTATATTCAATTCACCTTTCCTAGGAGTTGCATTTTTATTAATGGATACTAAGGAATGTCTTACGTCAACTGAAGAAATATTTCTAGCCAAAATTGAGAAATTTATTAACATTCACCAAAATAGTTTTTTGGTTCTGTCTGCTGCCCTCCATGGGCCTGAAGAAAGGAAACTGATGTTCAGAATTCAGCAGAGGTATGGAAGAATAGCATTATAGACTTATTTTTCTTATATTGCATTTATTTCAGTTCTAAATTCTTTTAGGTGAGTTTTGTTTTGCTAGATGATAAACACTGATGTTAACCTATCAAATTTAATGAAATATGGGCCAAATAGCTATTCTGTGAATCAAGGTGACAGGGTTCATGCTCTTTCATGGCCTTCTCCTACAAGACCAAGCCAAAAGTGAACACTTTTTAGTCAGTGAAATTCTGGCTATAAAGCCACCTCACATCCTCTGTGGAGTAAGGCAGGGCATAAATGCATAGACAAATAACAAAGAATAGAGATTTATCTCTTCTTTCTACTTTCTTAAGAGAACAGATGACAGTAAGTTATATGATCTGTATAACATGAACTGTTTTTCAGATTCCTGGGTTGTAACTTAAGAATACTTCCAGTACACAACACAGTAAATGCTATTAATCTTATGTGCACTATAGCGAAGGTGAGTCATTTGGGGAAAATGACACATACACACATACATTTTAAGGTTTTTAACTTCAAAATGCCACCCTTTTGAGCAAGGCTGGCAAATATCTTGCTTCTGTTCCCCTCAGGGAATCGCTGTTCAGCATGCAACTGTTTCCCAAGCCTGAACTAAGCCTCTCAAATCTTCTCAATTTACTTTCAGTGGCCAGTACCATTTAAGACTCATTTGGGGCCAAAAGAGCATTTGGCTGGCCCTATTGTTTACATATCTTCCTTCAAATTCTAAAGTATAAGGCTTGGTCAGATTGCAGTCATGAACTGTCAGAGTGCAAACATCCTATCTTATGGAAAGTTCTCCACCAGTTGTCCACTTCGTTTTCATGCTCTTTATCCTCTGCAGAGTGTGCCCAGACACCTCCAACCCCCTAGGCAGACTTAGGTTTTCCTTACCTTTATACGTGGAACATATCCATTAAAGCAATTTTTATAGTATTCTACTTTTTGGCTTGCATATTTGAAATTCCTTGGATAGAAACCAAGTATTTTCCTGTTGATTAGTAACTCATATATAGTATTTAGCACAAAGGTGCTCAAGAGATTTGCTGAAAGAATGAAAGCTAGGTGTTTTTAAATGTGACCTTGTACAAATACCTCATTTCTATAAATAATGCTGCATCTTTATGTCTTCTTCCAGACTACCTCCAAACCATACGTAGATAGCATCTGCTACAGAATGATAACAGCTAAAGCTTACATCACTGAGCAAAGTCCTGTTTGGAAAACACTTCAGAAGATAAAACTGAGTAGTGATTCAGTTAACCCAAACTAGAATACCAACTTAATGTTCTTCTCAAAGAATGTTAAAATAATTAGACCTGTGAAATTATAATATTCAAATACCTATTTATATTAAAGAGATTTATATTAATTCTAAATAATAACTTATACAATTAAAAGTAATTTTAGGAGTTCTGCTGTTTTTTTTTTTTTAAATATACTTTAAGTTCTGGGGCACATGAGCAGGATGTGCAGGTTTGTTACATAGGTATACACGTGTCATGGTGGTTTGCTGCATCCATCACCCCATCATCTACATTGAGTATTTCTCCTAATGTTATCCCATCTCTATCCCCCTACACCCCAACAGGCCCTGTTGTGTGATGTTCCCCTCCCTGTGTCCATGTGTTCTCATTGCTCCACACCCACTTATGAGTGGTGTTTGGTTTTCTGTTCTTGTGTCAGTTTGCTGAGAATGATGGTTTCCAGCTTTATCCATATCCCTGCAAAGGACATGAACTTGTCCTTTTTTATGGCTGCATACTATTCCATGGTGTATCTGTGCCACATTTTCTTTATCCCATCTGTCATTGATGGGCATTTGGGTTGGTTCCAAGTCTTTGCTATTTTGAACAGTGCGACAATAACCATATGTGTGCATATATGTCTAATCATAAAATGATTTATAATCCTTTGAGTATATACCCAGCAATGGATTACTGGGTCAGATGGTATTTCTATTTCTAGATCCTTGAGGAATCAACACAGTCTTCGATAACGGTTGAACTAATTTACACTCCCACCAACAGTATAAGTGTTCCTATTTCTCCACATCCTCTCCAGCATCTGTTGTCTCCTGATTTTTTAGTGATCACCATTTTAACTGGTGTGAGATGGTGTCTCAATGTGGCTTTGATTTGCATTTCTCTAATGACCAGTGATGAGCTTTGTTTCATGTTTGTTGGCTTCATACATGTCTTCTTTTAAGAAGTATCTGTTCAAAGAAAATGAAATACCGCATGTTCTCACTCATAGGTGGGTGATGAACAATGAGAACACATAGACACAGGGAGGGGAGCACTACACACTGGGGTCTGTTGGGGGAATAGGGGAGGGACAGAGCGGGGTGGGGAGTTGGGGAGAGATAGCATGGGGAGAAATACCAGATATAGGTGAAGGGGAGGAAGGCAGCAAATCACACTGCCACGTGTGTACCTATGCAACTATCTTGCATGTTCTTCACATGTACCCCAAAACCTAAAATGCAATTTAAAAAAAAGAGTGTTCATATCCTTCACCCACTGTTTGATGGGGTTGCTTTTTTCTTGTAAATTTGTTTAAGTTCTTTGTAGATTCTGGATATTAGCCCTTTGTCAGATGGGCAGATTGCAAAAAATTTTTTCCCATTCTGCTGGCTGCCTGTTCACTCTAATGATAGTTTCTTTTGCTATGCAGAAGCCCTTTACTCTACTTAGATCCCATTTGTCAATTTTGGCTTTTGTTGTCATTGCTTTTGGTATGTTAGTCATGAAGTACTTGCCCATGCCTATGTCCTGATGGTATTGTCTAAGTTTTCTTCTAGGATTTTTATGGTATTAGGTCTTATGTTTAAATCTTTAATCCATCTGGAGTTAATTTTTGTATAAGATGTAAGGAAGGGATCAAGTTTCAGCTTTCTGCCTATGGCTAGCCAGTTTTCCCAACACCATTTATTTAATAGGGAATCCTTTCCCCATGGCTTGTTTTTGTCAGGTTTATCGAAGATCAGATGTGTAGATGTGTGGCATTATTTCTGAGGACTTTGTTCTGTTCCATTGGTCTATATCTCTGTTTTGGTACCAGTACCATGCTATTTTGGTGACTGTAGCATTGTAGTATGGTTTGAAGTCAGCATGATGCCTCCAGCTTTTTTTTTTTTTTTTTTTGGCTTGGCTAAGCAGGTTCTTTTTTGGTTCCATATTAAGTTTAAGATGGGGTTTTCCAGTTCTGCGAAGAAAGTCAATGGTAGCTTGATGGGGATAGAATTGAATCTATAAATTACTTTGGGCAGTATAGATTTGTGTATGTTGAACCAGCCTTGCATCCTGGGGATGAAGCTGACTTGATCATGATGGATAGGCTTTTTGATGTGCTGTTGTATTCAGTCTGCCAGTATTTTCTTGAGGATTTTCACATCAATGTTCATCATGCATATTGGCTTGAAATTTTCTTTTTTAGTTGTGTCTCTGCCAGGTTTTGGTATCAGGATGATAGTCTCATAAAATGAGTTAGGGAGGATTCCCTCTTTTTCTATTGTTTAGAATAGTTTCAGAAGGAATGGTACCAGCTCCTCTTTGTACCTCTGGTAGAATTTGGCTGTGAACCCATCTGGTCCTGGACTTTTTTTGGTTGGTAGACTATTAATTGCTGTCTCAATTTCAGATCTTGTTATTGGTCTATTTAGGGATTTGACTTCTTCCTGCTTTAGCCTTGGGAGGGTGTAAGTGTTCAGGAATTTATCCATATCTTTTAGATTTACTGGTTTATTTGCATAGAGTTGTTTATAGTATTCTCTGATGGTAGTTTGTTTTTCTGTGGGATTCCCTTTATCATTTTTTATTGCATCTATATGATTCTTCTTTTTTTTTATTAGTCTGGCTAGCAGTCTATTTTGGTTATCTTTTCAAAAAACCAGCTCCTGGATTCATTGATTTTTTTTTTTTGAAGGGGTTTTCTTTGTCCCTATCTCCTTCAGTTCTGCTCTGATGTTATTTCTTGCTTCTAGTAGCTTTTGAATTTGTTTGTTCTTGCTCCTCTAGTTTTTAATTGTGATATTGGGGTGTTTTAGATCTTTCCTCACTTCTCCTGTGGGCACTTAGTGCTATAAATTTCCATCTACACATTGCTTTAAATGTGTCCAAGAGATTCTGGTATGTTGTGTCTTCGATCTCACTGGTTTCAAATAAAATCTTTATTTCTGCCTTCATTTCATTATTTATCCAGTAGGTATTCAGGAGCAGGTTGTTCAATTTCCATGTAGTTGTCCGGTTTTGGGTGAGTTTCTTAATGCTGAGTTATAATTTTATTGCACTGTAGTCTGAGACACTGCTTGTTATGACTTTTATTCTTTTGCATTTGCTGAGGAATGTTTTCCTTCCAATTATATGGTCAATTTTAGAATAACTGCAATGTGGTGCTGAGAATATATATTCTGTTGATTTGGAGTGGAAGTTCTGTAGATGTCCATTAGGTTCACTTGGTCCAGAGCCGAGTTCGAGTCCTGAATATCTTTGTTAATTTTCTGTCTTGTTAATCTAATATTGGCAGTGGGGTGTTATAGTCTCCCACTATTGCTGTGTGGGAGTCTAAGTCTCTTTGTATGTCATTAAGAACTTGCTTTATGTATTTCGGTGCTCCTGTATTGGGTGCATATGTATTTATGTTAGCTCTTGTTGCATAGATCCCTTTACCATCATATAATGCCCTTGTATCTTTTGATCTTTGTTGGTTTAAAGTCTATTTTATCAGAGACTAGGATTACAAACCGCCCCCCCCACACACTTTTTTTTTTTTTTTGCCCTCCATTGGCTTGGTAAATCTTCCTCCATCCCTTTAATTTGAGCCTATGTGTGTCTTAGGACATGAGATGGGTCTCCTGAATACAGCACAGCAATGGGTCTTGACTATCGAATTTGCCAGTCTAACACTGTTTAGCAAAGGATTGGTATGTACATGTATCATAAACCAAGGTGTAGCTTCTTATTGAGTTGGACACATCTTAATTTCCTAATCAGCTTCTTAAAGTCATATATATATTTTTTAGGTTTCTCTATAAGGTAGCAAGTATTTCTAAAATTCATCTTTGTAAATGTTTTCCTATTATAACTTCTGCTGGAGAGGCGGTGATGGGACTCTGCTCCCAAAGACTCCACCTGAGCCAGGAAAAGAGAGAGAAGCTAAGAAGTCAACTTGACTGAATTCTAAACTTCTTTCTACTCATTTACACTTGTGTGATATCCAGGCTGACATTAAGAATTCCAATATGTTACACGGCCTATAAAGGCAGCAAAAAAGTGTATCAGTACTTTTAAGGCTCATTAAAACTGTAGTAATGAATATAGACAATTCAACTATATTTTATGAAGGTATAAAGTTAGTTTATATTGGATTTTCAAAAGTAGTATTTAGGACATATGTGGATATTATTTACCATTAAATGACTTTAAAACCAAAAAATACTATTATTCTATAATGTATCATTATAGAAATTGATAAATGAGAAAAACTGCATTTATTTTTTGAGCAGTAAATTTTTACAAAAAAAAATTTTTTAAAGGTATTAAATCATAATGGAAAATTATGTTATTTTTATTTAGGAAGTAGAACTTTCACTTTATGTCAATATTTTCTTCAGAGGTAGACTTTGTTTTCATTTCAATGAGTTCTTCCACTCGAGCTAGAACACTTTCAATCAAATCAAATGTGAAAAGAGCTGAATGTAGGACCTGCAAAGCCAAGAAAAAATGTTATTAATGCTACTTGCAAAACAAAACATAGAAAATATTACAGCTGGAAGTAGCTTAGGAATACTTAAAGCTAGGTGCAGCGATTCACACCTGTAATTCCTATGCTTTGGGAGGCCAAGGTGGGAGGATTACTAGAGGCCACGAGTTTGAGATCAGCCTTAGCAACACAGTGAGACCCTATCTCTACTAAAAATTAGCCAGGTGGCCAGGCACGGTGGCTCATGCCTGTAATCCCAGCACTTTGGGAGGCCAAGGTGGACGGATCACAAAGTCAAGAAATCGAGACCATCCTGGCCAAAATGGTAAAACCCTGTCTCTACCAAAAATACAAAAATTAGCCAGGACTAGTGGCATATGCCTGTAGTCCCAGCTACTCAGGAGGCTGAGGCAGAAGGATCACTTGAACCCAGGAGGCGGAGGTTGCAGTGAGCTGAGACTGCGCTACTGCGCTCCAGCCTGGCAACAGAGCAAGACTTGGTCTCAAAAAAAAAAAAAAAAAAAAGCCAGGCATGGTGGTGTGCACCTGTAGTCCTGGCTAATTGGGAGTCTGAAGTGGGAGAATCACTTGAGCCCAGAGAATTGAGGCTGCAGTGAGCCACAATCATGCCACTGCACTCCAGCTTGGGC